GGCCAAGGCAGGCAGGAAGGAGGAGAGGGCGGGCGTGGATGAGGACTGAGAGTGTAAGGGAAGGCCTGGGATCCGCTCGCACCATTTTGCTCCCTCAGACCCCAACAAAGCTTCAGCCTCCACCTCCAGGACCCATGTCCGTCTCCACCGTCAGCTGCTGCCCTCTCCTGAAGCCCTGCTGGCCCCGGCCACCTATAGGCCCCTCACTTACCAGGGCCTGTACCCTGGAGCCCCAAGCCATCTTGGGATTCCAAGGACCCGACCAGCACCATACCCTCTCCCCAACATCCGGGCTAATGGAGATCAGGGCACCCTGACCCTCCCAGCTGGGCTGGGGCTGCTGTCCCCAACCGCTGCACACCTGGGACCTGGCCAGGACTCTCAGTGATGGCAGAAGCCTTCTACCCTGGACCTTCACCCATGTGAGAGTGTCTCCACCCTACCCCCTGCAGCCCCTCCTGTGCAGAGGCCCCTCTCCACAGAGAGCAGGGTGGCTGGAAGCCCTGTCACAGCCAGGCTGGGACCTGCCAGGCTTGGAACCAGTCTTCCTCCTTCCCACCCCAGCAATCTAGAATCTTGACCCCTTCAGCCTTGGGGGTGATTCCCCCAAACTCTTCTCTCACCTCTCTCTTCCTCCACCATTAAACCATTAAACTATTTGGCATGGGTACAGCACTTGTGTCCTCAAGGGTCAAGGTGGAGGGACTCAGGAACTACCAGGCATGACAGCCCCCATATCAACTCAGTAGGCATCCCAAAGCTCAGTCCAGTGGCTTCCACATCCCTGGGAGTGCAGTGATGGTAAAGGTGGGGACACCATCGAGTCACAGAAGAACTGCACTTAGCCCTGTGAAGAGGGCCCAGGGTCCTACTCCCTGCTTTATCCCCAGAGGAGAACCAAAACTGTGGCTCAGAGAGGCAATGGACCTGCTCAGAGTTACACAGCAAACATTGCCAACATCTGCCATTCCACATTTAAAGTCTGTGTGCAAGGCTGGTATGGCCTGGTCCTCGAGGGACCGGGGTCTGGTGAGGGGTGCAGAACCACGATAGGCAGTGGCCATAAAGGCCCCGTAGGGATGGGGGTAGCGATCTGGTGATCAATCAAGACTCAAGACAGGAAGGGAGGGACAAGACCCCTGTCATCTTGGAGCTGAAGTCCAGTCTGATGGAACAGAGAGCAGGACAAGAGTGGGTACAGGGTGAGCTACACATGGGCCCCTGACTCATCTGCAATCCTGGAGCTCTTTCTGTGAGCCCTTCAAGGGAGATATGGACACCGCTGGGGCGAAGGACACTGGACCCGACTCCAAACTCCCTGACCCCGAGGTAGTAAGAGCTGCGTCAGCTCCGATGGGTCTGGAACACACTCCTGCGCTCTCTGGGCGCCTTCTCAGCCGACCACGCCCACGCCCGCCCCACCCGGAAGCCCTGCCACTTAGCCACGCCCTTCCGGTCACGCCCCATCTGGAGGCAATGGCACCTGCCTGAGGCCTCGCCCCCGTCCTGCGCTAAAGAGCTTGTGCCCAGGCTCCGCCCCCCAGCCACGCCCCTGTTTGCTTCCCAGGCTCCGCCCCGTCGCCCTCGCAATAACGTCGGGTGGTGGCTCTCCGCAGGCCCCGCCCCGCCGCCCTCCGGTTTGGGGCCCGCCTCTTTTCACTGGAGCCCCGCCCCCCTTGCAGGCCCCGCCCCTGCATCACCGTAGCCCCACCCCTCGGGAGCCCTAGGGCCGACACTCCCCGGGCCTGCTCAGGGCCCGACGCTGCCCGCCCCTCGCCCGGTAGGCGGGCGCCGTAAGTTCTCGGAGCTGGGACATGCAGCCTGACTGCCTGTCCGCGGAGGGCGAGCGGCGCTGCAGGCAGCTGCTGGCGAGGACCACTGCTCGGTTCCGCGCGCGGCCCGCGGCGGCCGCGGTGCTCGTCCCGCTGTGCCTTGTGCGCGGGGTCCCGTCGCTGCTCTACACGCTGCGCTCCAGTCGCCTGACAGGCCGGCACCAGGGGGACGTCAGGTACACTGGCCGGGAGCTCCTCCCGGCTGCCGGAGGCCGAGGAGTCCCGGAGACCGCAGGGACCTTGGGCAAGGCACTCAGCCTCTCTCAGCCTCGTTCGGCTTCTGTAAAATGGGTCTGGGAGAAACGGTTTGCCCACGGCCTCAGCGAGGACTGAGCGACCCTTGTCCCCTGAGACGGCGCACCACGTCCGCCGGGACTCGAGCTGTTTCCCATCTCTAAAAAGGCAGGACTCTGCCCCCTGCCGGCGGCTGTAGAGAGTCCCAGAGCCCAGGAGCGAGGCTCCCCAGCCTCCAGCCTTGGCTCCGCCCCTGGTGGGAATTAAGGACACCCTGAGGTCAATGAAAGCACCATGGGGCCACCACAGGCAGAATTCTGTGTCTGAGCCCCAGGATCTTCTCGCCCCTGATGGCAGACCCTCATACCCTATCCTGACTGATCGGGGCTCTCTCCCTTACCTATATTGATCAGGGAGGTAAACTGGCTTCTCCAGGTCATGTGGCTAGGGACAGAAGCAGATGTCTAGGTGGGCTACTAGCCTTATGTCACGGCCCACTCCCCCACCCCTCCATGGCCCCCAGAACATAAGAACCAGACTCCCTGTGCCTGTTCAGTTTCCCAGGCGGCAAGTGTGACCCTGCTGACCAGGATGTGGTGCACACAGCCTTGCGGGAAACCCAGGAGGAACTGGGCCTGGCTGTGTCGGAGGAGCAAGTGTGGGGCATCCTACAGCCTGTGCACGACACGGTGAGCCATCAGGCCCGAATTTACCCTCACCCTGTCACCCACTCTGTGCCCACCCTGGACAGGGAGCCAGAATCCCAGGGTCACAGCTCCCTGCAGGCGTAGGGTATGGAGTAGTAAGCCAGCAACTGCCTGGGAGTCACCATTCCATCCCCACACAACCCTTGGGGCCCCATGTGAAGGAACAGGTTGGGGGGAGGCTTCACAGGATGGGCAGGGACTGAGCTGGGCCTGAATGACAAGTGGGAGATTTGAGATTTAAGGTTATAAAGGTGGCAGGTGGACTAAGTGGGGGTGGGGAAGCAGTCTGCCAAGGCATGACCAGGCCTAGTGCACTTGGCGCCCCGAGACAGTCAGCAGGAGCCCCTGGACCTGGCCATGCCCACCAAAGGCCTATGGATGGCAAGACAGGTCCTCCTCCCTGACTCAGCTCCTGACCCCAGAGCCCCACCCAGGCCATGCCTCCCCTGATGCCTATCCTTCTCCCATCCTAGAGAAAGGCCACAGTGGTGCCGGTGCTTGCCAGTGTGGGCCCATTGGACCTGCAGAGCCTCAAGCCCAACCCTGAGGAGGTAAATGGGGGACTCAGGGGTGGGCTGTCCCCTGGGGGAGGCTGCAGCGGCCAGCCCTCCCTCCACCCTCTCTCTGCCTCCCGCTCACAGGTAGATGAGGTGTTTGTGCTGCCCCTGGCACACCTGCTGCAGACACAGAATCAGGGCTATACCCACTTCTGCCAGGATGGCCACTTCCGTTACACACTGCCCGTCTTCCTCCACGGACCACACCGAATCTGGGGGCTTACAGCTGTTGTCACCGATTTCACCCTGCAGCTGCTGGCCCCTGGCGCCTACCAGCCCCGCCTGATCAGCCCGGAGCTGCACCCCAGCTGAAGGCCTGGCTCTCAGTCACTCCCGCCTTCCTGCGAGGCCCTCTAGGACTGAATAAAGGGTCTTTGACAGCTCTGTTCCTGCCTCTTCTGTGTGGAGGCCCTGACTTTGGGCATGCCCCTGAGGCCACTGGAAGGGCTCCTCAGTCCAGTCGCACTGTCCCCATGTAGGGATCAGTTCCTGTGTGCCAGGTGTGTGGAGCCATTTCATTTCGCCCTCAACAGTCCTCTGGCTGATGAGATTGGAGCTGGGGTGGGGGGATGGATTCCTTGCTCCAGCCTCCGAAGGCTGGGACAGGAGTGTCAGGCTGCTGTGCTGTGCATGCCCCCCCACACCTCCTGTTCCCTGTGCCTGGCTCACCCCTGTTGGGCTTTGGGAGTCCAGAGGGGAATGTGGAGGCCCCTCTCCCTGGATGTCACTGTGCAGTTCCAACTTGCTGAGACCCTGCTGCAGACCAGGTGTTGTGTGGAAGCCATGTCTGTGCTTCAGCCAGAACCTGCCCTGTCCTTCAGAGGTGGTCACATGGATAACAGTGGGACTGTACCTTAGTCAATAATAGTGGAATTAAACATCAGTTATGTAGACCAGGATTCTGTAAGCGAGTGAGGGCTAGACAATCTGAACTTTGCATGGTGGAATAGGAGGAATTCTTGGGCAGTACCAGGACAAGTAATAGAAAACTCCATTCACTAGCTAACTCTTCCTGAAGCGGACTGGTGATCACACACTCCTGAAATAACTAGCTTCAGGTATGGCTGGGTCTAGGGGTTCAGGGTCTCTCCCTTTCTCTTTTAAACTGTGCAGGGGCTGTCTCTAGTCCAGAAACATAAGAGATGAAAGGGCAACAGCTTCCTATCAAAAGAAAACACCTCTCGCCGGGTGCAGTGCACTCGCCTGTAATCACGAGTTCAAAGCCAGCCTCAGCAAAAGCTAGGCACTTAGCAACTCAGTGAGACCCTGTCTCTAAATTAAATATAAAACAGGGCTGGGGATGTGGCTCTGTAGTTGAGCACCCCTGAGTTCAATCCCCAGTAGCTCCTCCACCTCCACAAAAAAAAAAGTAAATAAAGAAAAAAAAAAAACACCTCTCCTGGCTGTCTAACTCAGGATTGCACTTGATTAGCCTCCCTGGTCACATGCCCTTTCCTGACCCCAGCACATGGCATGTAGGATTTAAAGTTTATGGATTGACAGGGCTAGGGGTGAATCCCCTGCACTAAAAGTAGAGAAGGGTGGCCCTTAAAGAACACCTGAGGGGCACATCATTTAGACTCAGCTCTAAGACCTGAAGAGGTGAAACTACTAGAACACACACAGAGGAATCACTCCAGACGTTGGTCTGGGCGATGATTTCTTTTATAGGACCCCAAAAGCTCGGGCAGCAGAACCAAAGATAGACAAATGGGACGACACCAAACCAAACGCTGCACAGCAAAGGAGAAAATCAACAGTGAAGAAACACCGGGAGAAAATGTGGGTGAGCCAGACGTTTGGTAAGGGGCTAAGGTTCAAACTCTACAGCAAGAAAACAAACAGCCCAATCCAAAAACAAGACGTTCTTAAAAGAAGACATTGCAATGGATGTAGGGAAAAAATATTCAACATTCTAAGCACCAGGGACATGCAAGTCAAAACCACAATGAGATCTTACCTCAACCTGTTAAAATGGCAATTTTTAAAAACATTTATTTTTTAGTTGTAGTGGGGCACAATACTTTTATTTTTTTATTTTTTATGTGATGCTGAGGATCGACTCCAGGGCCTCGCACGCACTAGGCTAGTGCTCTACCGCTGAGCCACAGCCTCAGCCCTAAAATGGCGATTTTTTTAAAATGAAAGAGGGCTGGGGCTGCAGTTCTGTGGCAGGGCACTTGCCTAACGTGTGTGAGGCCCTAGGTTCCCTCCCTAGCACTGCAAAAAAATAAAAAATAAAAAAAATAAAACCCCAAACAAACCACAAAAGAAGAGTCTGGAGCAAGTGCAGAAAAGAGAACCATTAAATACTCTGGGTGGGACCATAACTAATATGTATAGCCATGTTGGAAAACAGTATGAAGGTTCCTTGGAAACCAAAGGGAACTACCATATGACTTAGCACCCCGCTTCCAGGTACATACCCAAAGAAATCAAAACTGGTCTGTCAAAAAGATACCTGCCCGGGCTGGGATTGTGGCTCAGCTGTAGAGCGCTTATGTAGCACGGGCGGGACCCGGGTTTGATTCTCAGCACCACATAAAAATAAAGGCATTGTGTTGTGTCCATCTACAAAAAAAGATTCTCCCTCCCTCCCTCCCTCCCTCCCCCTCCCCCCTCTCCCCTCTCTCTCCCCCTCTCCCTCTCCCTCTCCCTCTCTCCTTTAAAAAAAAAAAAAAGATGTGTGCCCCCCTATTCACTGCCAATAGCCAGAACATGGAATCAACCTAATGAATGGATAAAGAAGATGTGTTACATACACACATGGAGTATTTTTCAGCTTTAACAGAGGCAATTCTGTCATTTGCACCAACACAGATGAAGCTGGAGGGTGTTATGATAAGCCAAATAAGCCAGGCAAAGAAGAGCATGACACCAACTCACTTTTATATGGAACCCAAGAAAGCTGAGCAGGGTCTGGTGGCTCAGGACTTGGGAGGCTGAGGCAGGAGAACTGCAGTTCCAAGGCCAGCTTGGGAAATGTTGTTTGACCCTGTCTCAAAATAAAAAAATTAAAAAGTACTGGGACATAGTTATAACAAGACATCCATTGAACCCCATAAATATCTACAATTGTTATTTCTTGGTTAAAAATTAAGAGACCAGGGGCTGAATGTGTGGCTCAGTGGTAGAACATTTGCCTGGCATATGTGAGACCCTGGGTTCTATCCTCAGCACCACATATAAATAGATAAATAAATAAAATAAAAGATCCATTGAAAAAATACGTGTGTGTATATGGGGCTGGGATTGTGGCTCAGTGATAGAGTGCTTGCCTCAGATGTGTGAGTCACTGGGTTCAATTCTCAGCACCGTATATAAATAAACGAATAAAATAAAGGTCCATCAACCCTACAAAAATATTTTTAAAAAAGAAAAAAAATGTGTGTGTGTGTGTATATATATATATATATATATATATATATATATATAATTTTATACATATATACACACACACACACACATATATATATATATATATACAATTACATACATATACATATAATTTTTTTAAAAGATTAAAAGATCACCAGGAGAGGGATGCTGGGCAGTTAAAGCCAGGGAGTCAGGTAGGCAGGGGGCTAGGTCAAAGGTCAGTTCAGGCAGAAGGTGCTGCTGGGCAATGCAGGGAGGTGAAGGGACGAAGAGCAGGTGGAGAAGGGAAGGGGGCGGCTCACCACATAGAGGGCCACCATGGGATTAAGGAGCGCCTCCTTGGTGAGGAGACAAGGGACACCCTCAAGGATGGGTTAGGATTGTATTCCCAGCCAGGAGAGCGGGTAGAGGGGTGTCCAAGTGACCTTGAGCTGGCCACCTCAAGGGGTCTAAATAGCAGGGCATGCTCCCCTGCACCCCGCTCCCCACATAAGCCCCCATCCCACCTTCCCATGTGCCCCCTCTCCACCCCGCAGGGTCTGCCCCCCAGGGCTCCCTCCTCCCCACCTGACCCTGCCTTCTCACCTCCCTCCTCCTCTCCTGCAGCCCTCACTTCCCATGCTCCTCCGCCACCCCTTTCCTCACCTCCGGCCCTCCAGCCTCCTCACCCGAGAGCGGGACCGCCTGACCCTGGTAAAAATAACTCCTTTGACAGCGTGTGAACAGAGGGGCAGCGGGAGGGGAAGCTGAGCCCCAGCACTAGGGAGGGGCCCTTGGGGGGTGAGGGCGGGAGGTGCCGGCTCCTGATTCTGAGTCTTTCTCCTGCTCTGTCACACCCCTGCCCAGACGGTCACCTCTGCCTTCCCAAGCGCACCCAGCGCCCGCAGCTGCGAACGAAGCCCGGTGGAGCAGCTCTAGGTTGGTAAGGAGCCCTGCGGGCTGCCTCCCGACACGCCCGTGCGCCCCCAACTCGCCCCGACCCTCCAGGCTGGAGACCTTGACCTCAGGACCCCCGCTCTGCCCTAGAACGCCCCTGATGGCCTCAGCGATGCCTCCTCGCTCCGTCTCGGTGGCCGGGTGCGTTCCCCCAGTCCCCAGTCCGTCAGGGTCGCTCTGAGCCGGTCCGCCTGTCCGAGCCCCCATGGAGGGCACGGCGCCCCCGGGCCGGCGGCGGTCGCCGAGGGTGAGCATGCAGGAGCACATGGCCATCGATGTGAGCCCCGGCCCCATCCGGCCCATCCGCCGCATTTCCGACTACTTCCCGCACTTCTACGCGTTTGCTGAGCCCGCGCTGCACACTCGTGACCAGCGCGCTCCGGCCATCCTTTCTGCACCCCCGCCGCAGCCTGACCCAGAGCCACCGGGAGACTCGGACGACAGCAGTGAGTGTGTGTGTGTGGGGGGGGGGGCAAGGGGGTACCCCCAGGATGGTTTGGGGTGTCCCTAGCATTCCCGTGGAGGGGCCAGGCAGAAGGCACCGTGCCGTGGAGAGTGGGCAGGTGAGCCGAGCTGGCTGCTGACCCTACCTGCCACCTGCCGTAGCTGCGCTGGGCACCCTCGAGTTCACACTTCTCTTTGATGCGGACAACAGCGCCCTGCACTGCACTGCCCATCGCGCCCAGGTGAGGATGGGGCGGGGTCCCTGGGACAGGGGGCGGGGCCACAGGCTTACCCCACATCCACTTTCTGTTCCCAGGGTCTCAAGCCACCGGCCTCAGGTTCTGTTGACACCTACGTCAAAGCCAATCTGCTGCCAGGGGCCAGCAAGGTGAGGGCAAGACCCAGGTCTCTACTGCTGCTCTCTGGCAGGTCCAACCCAGGGCACCCACCTGGCCCCAATTTGTCCCAATCCCCAGGACTTAGACCTCAGTTGCTGGGATCAAGGAGGCAGGGCAGGGGGCCAGGGAAGGTTTCTGACCCACCCCACCTGGTATCCAGGCCAGCCAGCTTCGGACCCACACCGTTCGGGGTACAAGGGGACCTGTCTGGGAGGAGACACTCACCTACCATGGCTTCACCTGCCAGGATGCTGGGCGCAAGACCCTGCGGTGAGAATCCCTGGGCCACCTGGGGCAGGGTAGGGGGATGGGGTTTGACTGGCCAGGTTTGATACTGGCGGCCACCAGGCTGTGTGTGTGTGAAGACCCTCGGCTGCGGCGACGGCGGCGGGCACCACCCCTGGGGGAGCTGCGGGTGCCCCTGAGGAAACTGGTGCCCAACCGAGCCAGGAGCTTCAACATCTGCCTGGAGAAGCGGAGGCTGGTGAGGGGCCAGGGAGCCCAGGGTGCCGCTGCAGGGGACAGCGGCCTTGTGATGGGGTTGCTGGAGAGGGAGGAGCAGGGAGGGGCACCCTGAGGTAACTGGGCCCTGCTTTTCCAGACCAAGAGGCCCAAGAGCCTGGACACAGCCCGGGGCATGTCCCTGTATGAGGAGGTGAGATTGCTGAACGGAGGAGGGATGGGATGGGCAGGCCTGGAGGCCCAGGCTGCAGTGGGTCAGGCAGGACGTGGGTGGAGTGGGCAGGGGTCCTAGCCTAGGTGGGCTTGGAGGAATTTGCAGCCACCTCTCACAAGCTCTGTGAGCCCTTATAACCCTGGGGAAGCCCGTGGCTGGGCAGGCTGGGGGGCACTCTCTGGCCATGGCAGCATGGGAACCCTGGGGCAAACCAGAAGCCCCTGAGGGCACAGCCAGACACAGACCTGGCAACTTTTAGGTAGAGGCGGAAAGCTGGAGGTGGAAGGGCTGGGCAAGGTGGGGGAGAGAACAGGCTCTGCCACCAGGGTCAGCATGGGTGCCATCCTGTGGCTGGTTGTCATTGACAGGCCCTTGTTAGGAGGCAGCAAAGGTAACCAGTGGGCTTCTTCGACCCCACCTGAGACCACAGACCTGGCCAGAACCCTTATGGCCCTGCAGGGGAAGGCATCCCTAAGGCCTAGGGTGGGCCCTCCACCCACTCCTCTGGGAACAAAAGGGCCTGGCGCCCTGCCCCCTAGTGGAGACACGAGTTGCTGCAGTTGTGGATTAATTACACCCAGGTGGTGGTGGTGGACATCACCAAGCACCCTGTCATACCCACCTCCTGTCCCAGGACCAACGTACAACACCACAGCGCCCAGTGGCTGCTCACCAAGCACTCCGGTGTTACTGAGAACTGCCTGTGACGTGGTGGCTGGGTGTCCTGCAGTCATTCTACTCAAAGCATAGGAGGAGACACTTTCTGGCATCCTCCAAGCTGTGGGCACCAGGGTCCCGTAGTATGGCAAAAGACATTATTCCCAGAGAAGTAATGGATGGGACAAAGAGGATAGGTTTTGAAACTGAAGAGATCTGTTGGTCCCTGGGTACAGAACAGTCTTCCAAAGGTGCCCCTGTGGCACCAGGCTGGTCCTATAGGCAGTGGTTATGGGCACTTGCTGAAGGCCACACAGGAAGCTCCTGTCATGTTTGTGGCACTCAAGAGACCATTATTATCTACCTCCCCTCCATGACAAAGATGAGCTGAATGGACCAGCAAGCCCCTTTCCTCCAGCCCTGGAGGGCACAGCTGACCCATAAGGTCCTTTCTAGGGTACCAGATGAATGGCTATTTAGGGAGATTGCCATAAAATTAAATTGAATTGGCCCAATTTCTCTGCAGCCAGTTTGAGCCTCCTCTTGGGGCCTGGACACTGGTGGGGTGGTAGACTTTGGGCTGGATGGGGTCTGACCAAAGCCTTTACCTGCAGGAGCAGGCAGAGGCCGAGACGGCTGGGGAGGAACGTGGGCGCATCCTGCTGTCCCTGTGCTATAGCTCCCAGAGGGGGGGCCTGCTGGTGGGCATTCTGCGCTGTGCCCACCTGGCCCCCATGGATGCCAATGGCTACTCTGACCCCTTTGTCCGCCTGTGAGTGAATTGGTAGATGGGTGGGCAGGCAGGGCAAGGTGGCAGTTGCTCACCTCTCCAGGGACACACCTGACTTGCCCATCTCCTCAGTTTCCTGCATCCAAACTTGGGGAAGAAATCTAAATACAAGACCAGTGTTCGGAGGAAGACCCTGAACCCCGAGTTCAATGAGGTGAGCCAGGGCTAAGCAGGGCCCAGCCACACTTGGCCTTGACTGCTGAGCCACCCTGGCCTGGACCTGTTTCTGAGATTCGCCTGCTCCCTCCTGCCCCTTTCCCTGCAGGAATTCTTCTACGCAGGCCCCAGAGAGGAGCTGGCCCAGAAGACACTGCTAGTGTCTGTGTGGGACTATGACCTGGGCACGGCAGATGACTTCATCGGTGAGCAGGAATGTGGGGCACTGGGGGGAGCCCTATGGGCTCCTGCCAACCCTGATCCGTGTCCCTGGTAGGTGGGGTGCAGTTGAGCAGCCAGGCCAGCGGGGAGCAACTACGCCACTGGTGTGAGTGCCTGGGTCACACAGACCACCGGCTGGAGCTGTGGCACCCGCTGGACGGTGTGCCCCACCAGCTTGGCGACAAGCCAGTACAGGATCCTGCTTGCAGACCTGCCCCACAGTGGCCAGGACACCCCTGAAGCTGGGAGGATCCAGGGGACTGCCCCACCTGCTGTACCCATTCCCTTGACCCAGGGACGTTTCCTATCCCCTTTCACATTCACCCCACCACAAAGCCAAAATAAACATCTTCTGGCCACACCAGATCTGTCTTCTCTGGTCACGCACCCCACCTCCCCTGCCATCACCTTACGGGGCAGACAGATGCCATTCTCCTGTCTCCCACTTTCCAGAGGCCTTTGCCAAACCAGGCTCCCAGTCCCCACCACATTCTGCTTCCTACACTGAGGGAGGGGGATGTGACCACATCTTGAGAGCAGGACTGAGGAGTGGCAGGGAATGGCAGGGTAAAGAGCAAAGTCACAGATGTGCTGCAGTGGGAGAGTGGGTGGCACTTGCTTTATTGTCCAGTATCCAGACAGGAATGCAAGGCAGCAGGCCGGGGTTTGGGCTCAGGAAGCAGCCTGCCGGGCCTGGTGCTGCTGGGCAAACCGCTGCATCCGATCCTCAAGCTCTGGACGAAAGTGTCGGATGAGACCCTGGGAGAAAGGAGGAAGGCACTGGGTGAAACAGAATCCAAAAATCTCCCCGTCCTAGGCTCTCAGCACTGCCCACACCAGTGACGCGCAGCAGCTCCATGCATACCTGTACAGGCCAGGCGGCCCCATCGCCCAGAGCACATATGGTGTGGCCCTCTATCTGCTTGCTGATCTCCCACAGGGAGTCAATCTCAGCTGGCCGAGCGTCCCCCCTCACGAAGCGAGCCATCACCTTGTTCATCCAGTCCACACCTGAGGCCATAGCAACAGGAGAGGGCCTGATGGTCTCCCCAGCCAGGGCACACGCTGGGGTGGGAGCTAAGTGGAACCGAGACCAGTACACCCCAAGTTGCCCAGGTGCTCACCCTCGCGGCACGGGGTACACTGGCCGCAGCTCTCGTGCTTGTAGAACTCAATGAGGCGGGCGATGGCTTTCACGATGTCTGTCTGGGAGACAAGGGACAGTGAGCAGGTGCCCCTACAGCACTCCACTGGCATGCTCTGGCTTCCAGTGAACTCTCCTGCAGGGTGGCCTTGCTACCCTCCTCTCCTTCCTCACAACAGCTCAGGTTGTGACAGCAGGAAGCTGAGAGCTGGTCAGAGGGTTTTCAGAGAGGCCCGGGGAGGGAGGCAGTGGCCAGGCAGCACAGGGAACACCAGCCAGGTGTGAGGGCCACCCTTATCACCCTTACCGAGCGGTCCATGACGATCACCGCGGCTGTGCCCAGGCCTGTCTGAGCCTGCACCAGGGCGTCGAAGTCCATCAGCACCGTCTCACATACAGACTTGGGGATCAGTGGGGTGGACGAGCCGCCAGGAATCACAGCAAGGAGGTTGTCCCAGCCACCGATGACACCCCCTGGGGCCCCAAGTTAGTCCCCAAAAGGATGATGGTCGGGGCTGGGCTGGCACACCTGCCGAGTCCTGAGCCTGGACCTTTGTCAGCCCCAGCCTGAGGTCCTCCCACTGGGCTCTCTTTGTGGACGCCCACCACACCCCTCAGGGCTGGCCCCCAGCCTCACCAGCGTGTTTCTCTATGAGCTCCTTCAGCGGAACAGACATCTCCTCCTCCACAGTGCAAGGGTGGTTGACGTGGCCAGAGATGTTGAATAGTTTGGTACCCGAGTTGCGTTCTCGGCCAAAACTGGCAAACCAGGCACCCCCGCGGCGACAGATGGTGGGGGACACAGCCACTGTCTCCACATTGGCTACGGTTGTGGGGCAGCCGAACACTCCTTCAGGGAAATGAGAAAAGAGACAGTAGCCGCAAGGGAGTGGCCAGGTTTCCTGGCAGTGGGATTTGTGGGTCCTGCTCCCGGGCAGGGCTCCTGCTCTTTTACCCTCAACATTCTCCCCCGCCACTGGACCCCAAACTCCAGAGGTGCCGTATTGTCTGCTCACCACCATGCCCCGGCTCCAAGAGCAGATACTGCCAAGGCACAGAGTTTGAAGGGGCTTGGGTGTCTAATGTGGGGCTGAGACAGGGTGGCACGGGGAGCCTGTGCATTGTTACCACCCTCCTCTCTCCACCTAGCCTGGAATGCACTCAGAAATACCATAAGAGCCCCTGAGGGGGACTCCACAGGACAGCCACAACAAGCCCAGGGCTGGAGGGCTTACCTACATCTGCTGGGAAGGGTGGCTTCAGGCGTGGCTTGCCCTGCTTGCCCTCGATGGACTCAATCAGGGCCGTCTCCTCTCCACAGATGTAGGCCCCAGCCCCACGCACCACAAACACATCAAAATCGTAGCCAGAGCCACAGGCATCCTTGCCAATCAGGCCTGCCTCATAGGCCTCTCGGATGGCCACCTGTGGGACAAGGGTGTCAGCCTTGTAATTTCAGGAATCATGGAGCCCCTGAAGGCTTCCCAAGGTGAGGCTCTAGAGCATAAAGGAAGAGCCCAGAGAAGGGGGCTTTAGGAACCAAGTCCTGATCAGGATACATGCAGAAGTGGTCACTCCTCTCCCAAGTGGACACCTGACAGACCAGTGCTAATAACTAAGATCAGCTGTGCTGGGGAAGGGCATGCAAGCAAGTACCCGCTGGCCACCTTCTGCTTGTTGATACCCTCTTTGCCCACCTGCAGATTGGACGCCTCATTGTAGAATTCCCCACGAATGTAGATATAGGCAGCACGGGCGCCCATGGCCCGGCCCCCCACCAGACAGCCTTCCACCAGCTTGTGAGGATCGTGGCGCATGATCTCCCGGTCCTTACAGGTGCCTGGCTCCCCCTCATCTGCATTCACTACCAGATACTTGGGCCTGTGGGAGCCTGCAGGTCAGTCAGGCTACAGGCCCACCAGGACTGAGTCCTCCACCACATCCATCCCTGTTCCTTCCAGAGGCTTCAAAGATGTCTCCACCAATAGTCAATCCCTCTCTACCCTCCCAACATGTCCCCAGGGGCTCTGCTTATTCACCACCGATGACAGGGAGCTCACTGCCTGATCCATCTTTGGGCAGATATGACCACAGGAAAGGTCTCTGTTTTGCTTAGCCCAATACTCTCTCCCCGTGTTTTCCCTTGAGAGCCAAATTCTGCTCTTGGTTACAAAGAGCATTCCTCAACCTTCACATCTCTGGGGCCAAAGGAGGCAAAGTAGCTGATTTTTATTATTTACTTTCTGTGTACTAACTAAAGTACAGGCAAAAGCCAAATGAACATTATCTCTTTGGTTCCAGCAGGATATCACCATATCCATGAACAAAAAGGAAACACGAGGTTCACAAAAGATTTCCCAAAGCTCTAGACTTACTAGAAGGCAGAACTGGGATTTGAACAGCGGAGCCAGCCTCAATATCTTGTATTGACTATGCTAGACCACAACACCTCCCCCAAGGAAGCGCAAAGAGAACTGGAGTCCCATCCACTTGAGACCTGGGAACGTATTCTTGCCTCATTCATGCTACAATGTCTAAGGACACAGTCCTAAGGGTCAGACAAGCCCTAGCCACCCACAAAGTCTCTCCTGCGACCATGTCTCAGGCTCCCCTCACATACCTGCCATCTGAAGGCTTATTCATGAAGCTCCACTTGAGCCCAGTGGGGAAGCCAGCACCTCCACGGCCCCGCAAGCCTGATGTCTTAATCTCACCCAGAATCCAGTCGGGCCCCTTCAGCAGGATCTCCTTTGTCTTATACCAGTCACCTCGACTCTGGGCACCTTTCAGCCTAGACAGGGTGAGGAAGACAGTGAGGGGAAGGCCCTGGCAAGGAACACAATAGGCTAAGGATACTGTCTCACCTCCAGTCATGACGGCCATACAGGTTGGTGAAGATGCGGTCTTCATCCTTCAGTGAGCCAAATGTGGTTTTCTTGGGTGCTGTCTGAGGAGACCGAGTGTCAGGAGACCCAGCAGAGCTCTGGGGGCCAAGAGGGGTTGGGCCAGAAGCTACAGATTCTTGGGTCCTCCTGCTTAGGAGGGGCTGGGCCAGGGAAGGCAGAGGCCTAAGCCTCAAAACTTTTTGAAATGTTACACCTATCACCATCACTTAAGCACTTCCCGCACAGAGATACTGGCCTAAGCACTTTATAGCTCAAGCCTCAATTTATCCTCATGACAACACTGAGATGGGAATGATTTCTTTCATTTTGCAGAGAAGTAAACTGAGGCTCAGAACAAAAGGAACTTATGAAAGGTCACGCAGCCAAAAGTAGCAGACGGTTCTTTGTTTTAGTTGTAGGTGGACACAATACCTTTATTTATTTATTTATTTTTATGTGGTGCTGAGGATCGAACCCAGGACCTCACACGTGCTAGGTCAGCGCTCTGCCACTGCGCCCCAGCCCCAGCCCCAGCAGATGGTCCTTGAGTCCACCTTTTTTCATGGCCTGGCACCAAACTGCCTCCCAAAGCCCAGAATGACAGCATCTTACCAATGGTACTAAGGGCAAACAGTGTTTACTGAGAGGAAAAAAATGCCCCACCGGGGCTGGGACGAAGGGGCCGGAGGGGACCCCCTGGGATAAAATTGAGGGGCGGGGACTGGGAATCCACGTGACTAGCGAAGAGCACCCAGCTCCGGGCTAAGAGGACCTGACTTTTAAGGGGACCTTAAAAGCGCTTCTCGGTCACGAGGGAGCAGAGCCTGGAGGAGGAACCCGGAGGTGTGCATCCCTCTCCGAAGCTGTCTTCTGCATCTACAGAACGGGGCCATGACCCCTTCTCACCCGACGACGCTGCAAGGAAGGGACGCGAGACTAGGATGCTTTACAACCCGCACAACTTCCCGCTAGGCCTGTGAGACCAGCGGGCAGGGAGCCGCACTGCGCGTCGGCCTCCGCTGCACCGTGCCCTTCTGCTTCCCGCCGGGCCCAGGGAGAAGGGAAGGGCTCTGCAGAAGGCACCGCAGAATCCAGGCACGCACGGCGCGCGGAGGCCCGCGGACGCCCCGGGCCCGATCCCGGCCGGGCCTCACCGTTTCGCTGCTGAAACGCACAGAGAGCCGCGCGGGGAGCGACCCGCCGAGCAGCCGTCGTGCCGCCAGCATCGCGGGGGCCAGGCCGGTCACCTCCGGCTGTCACCTTCACAGCTCGGAGGCTGAGGAACCAGCGCCACAGAGACGTTAGGCGGCGCACAGGAAGAGCGTCACGCTCCCC